AATTCTAGTAAATGGAAGTTTCCCATTCCACAAAGAGTATGGAAGGGGATCAATTTACTCTTCCACCATCAGACTCTTGAACAAGGGAGCCTCCTCTGGCAATGGAGAGCCCATCCAGAAAGGTGTTGTGGGTAGAAGTTGCCCACGACCCTTTGTCCCACTGGAGTTAGTCAGTGCCAATCCAAACTTGGGAGGCACCACCACCTGCTGTGGGAGGGAGGTGGCGAGAGCAGCCGTGGGACATGCCGATGCTGGCACAGCCTATCTTTGCTGAGGAGCCTCCACCGCAGTTTACAGATACTCTCCTGTGGTGGAACTGCCGGGAGGACAGAGAGGTAAATATCTGCTGCCCTCGGGATGTGGAGCCTTCCATGTGATAGCACAAAGGGGCTCGTTCCTATTCAAAAACGTACACAAGGGAAGCCCAATATTTTGGTGGCTGCAGTCACACCCAGCCAGTGTCTCGTGGGGCCCTGCTAAGAGGCCTGTGTCCTAGCAAAAGGGAGGAGTAGAGTGCTCATGCAGTAGTGTCTGGGGAACTCACCTCTTGTCGCGCAGCTGACGGGGAAGAGACATCCTTTCAGCTCCTTGGAGTTCAGGGGAGCCGCGGAAAGGACCAGCCCTTTCTCTCCGTTTTTCCTCAGGCAGTGCAAGCGGACTGGGAGCACCCTCTGACTCTGTGAGTCTGGATGTACTGGGACTTCTCTGCAGGGCCTCAGGGATTTCACTCTGAATATGTCAGCGTTAGCCTGTCGTTTCCTGCTCCCAACAGATTGAGGAAGTGCTAGCAAAAGAGTGCCGGTAAGATGGGCAGCTTTGTGATTGCAGCATGTGTGGCGAAATTGCCCCGCCCTCCTCCCCCCTCATTAGAGAAGTGAGAGGCAGATCGTCAAAAGGAACAACAAGCCAGATTCATTACGGCCAGACACTGCACAGGCACTGCAGCTCAGCCCCTGTGCAAAGGAACGGTCACACGCTGCCAGGCTGGGCGGGTGGCATTTTACACTCTTTGCACCAGTGTCCTTGCCGATCGAGTGCAGCGCAGTGGGGGAAGCAGGCCTGATAAAAACCCCAGGGCAAGGCTGACTGGCACTGTGCAGAAATCTGGATGGCAAGGCCTGGCAAAAGGCAATCCAGCTCCCCACTCCCAGCTTGCCTCCCTGGATAATGATACATGCAACCCAGAGAACAGAGCTGGGCCTAGGTTGGTGTGGCTCTATGTGAAAAACCAGTTACTCTGTACAAAAAACTTTGTAACTGTTGTTCTTCGAGATGTGTTGCTCATCGCTATACCAGCTGAGGTGCGCGCGCACTGCATGCCCGACTGCCGGACAGTTTTTCCTCAGCTGCTACCCATTGGGTCAGCTGTGGAGTCCCCTGGAGTGGCACTTCCCCCAGGCACTGGAGACACGAGTTGTGGGGGGGGGTCACTCGAGGGCATTGAGCTAAGACGAGACCTGCAGGCAGGGCTAGCCTTACCATGAGGTGAACTGAGGTGGCCATCTCAGTTGCCAGACTGAGGGGGAGGGAAGGAAGCGCCACTAGGACCCAGAGTGTAGAAAATTGTGTCTGCTGCTGGTGCATCTGTATTCTCTCTGCTCTAGATGCACAGAGATGGTGGAGTGCTGTGCTGGAGGAAGGAGGGCACAAGAGACATAGCAGGCAGGCAGGAAAAAGGGGATATGGGGGCTGTGGTATAGTGGGGGTTCTGTCTGCTCTGTATCCTGGGGTCCCCCTGCACTGTGGTGTGTGATCCCCACTGACTCACCCACATGTTGTGATGTAGTGTTAGTATCTTGCTAGTTGCTATGCTTGGGTTGTGGGCTGTGAATGACCCCTACTGGCCTCTGCCTGTGAGACGTAGACAAAGACCCAACCGGTCAGACGAGTTGGGGAGCCAGGGAACTAGGGAAGTGAGTGTTCAGGGGAAGGGTGAGTCTTGGGCTGGAACCATGAGAGAGAGAGACTAAGGTTGCTGGGGCTGAGGGCCAGGGATGATGGACCCATAACCCAAGGGGTCTGAAACATCCTGCCCCCGAATCCTGTAATCTTACCATGCCTGTGCTGTGCTGTATCCTGGAGTGGCAAAAAACCCTCTCTAGTCTACTGCTGACAGAGTCTGTTCTTGCTGCTACAGGGGTGCAGGATTGGGGGAACCCCGACTGCGTCATCACAGGGGCGTCATTTGAGCTTCCCACCTCAGATGCCAAAATGTTGTGGGCCAGCTCTGCCTGCAGGGTTTGAAGCCCTGGGAGTTTGGCATGCCCCAGGGTCAAAGGGAACATGGGCAGGAGGAAAGTCTTGGGCTGGAACCATGAGAGAGAGAGACTAAGGTTGCTGGGGCTGAAAAAATTAAAATAAAACAGCATTAAAAATAGCATGTCGCCTTTAAGTGCAGGGATGGGAGAGGTTGAGCACTAAGACCCAGGGGAAGCACTACTTCCCCTAGGTCTTTTGGCCGGCAGCCATTTTGAGCCGGCAG